AGGCATTTTCATTGTCTGATTTATTCCACACACAGCAGATTGTGAGGATGTCTCAGGCGGGGCGCTGGCTTCAGCCTCCCATAAAAGGGGAGCCGCCAGGGGTGTTTTCACGGTCCCGTTCGCTGCCGTTTTGTGGGGATGCCTCAGGCGGTTTGCCTGTTTTCTGTCCCAACATCCTTCGCTTTCGGAGCAAATTTGGAGGATGTCTCGAGCGAGGCGCTCATTTTCACGTCCCTAAGGGGGCCGCCAGGGGTGTTTTCACGGTCCCGTTCGCGGCAGTTTTGTGGGGATGTCTCAAGCGGTGTCTTCTGTCCCAACATCCTTCGCTTTCGGAGCAAATTTGGAGGATGTCTCGAGCGAGGCGCTCATGTTCACATCCCTAAGGGGAGCCGCCGAACGGTATCGCACGGTCCCGTTCGCGGCCGTTTTGTGGGGATGCCTCAAGCGTTTTGCTTGTTTTCTGTCCCGACACCCTTAGCTTTCGGAACAGATTTGGGGGATGTCCCGAGCGAGGCGCTCATTGTCACGTCCCTGAGGGGAGCCGCCAATGGTGTTTTCACGGTCCCGTTCGCGGCCGTTTTGTGGGGATGTCCCAAACGGTTTGCTTGCTTTCTGTCCCAACATCCTTCGCTTTCGGAGCAGATTTGGGGGATGTCTCGAGCGAGGCGCTCATTGTCACGTCCTTGAGGGGGGCCGCCGAAGGGTATCGCACGGTCCCGTTCGCTGCCGTTTTGTGGGGATGTCTCAGGCGGTTTGCATGTATTCTGTCCCAACATCCTTCGCTTTCGGAGCAGGTTTGGGAGATGTCTCGGGCGAGGCGTTCATTTTCACGTCCCTAAGGAGAGCCGCTGAAGGGTATCGCACGGTCCCGTTCGCGGCCGTTTTGTGGGGATGCCTCAAGCGTTTTGCTTGTTTTCTGTCCCGACATCCTTCGCTTTCGGAGCAAATTTGGAGGATGTCTGGAGCGAGGCGCTCATTTTCACCCCCCAGTTGGGTCAGATTTTCAGGATGTCTTGATCGGTGGCCAGACTCGTGGGCACAGATCGCTCACATGGACGCTCACCTGAACAAAAGGTATCACTGATAGACGCTCGCCTTGGCACAATCCCACACTTTTACAGCATGATATTCGCATGTTGCGTTGCATGGCTAGACGCGCATTCTCATATCCCACTGACAATTATCCTTTAAAAATGCACATATGGGGATCTACACGCAATGAATAATTATGTTTGCAAAGGGTTCTTGCAAACTGACGTCGGCAACGGCAGGCACGATGACAAACGTAACGATGCTGGGGACGACGTTGACGATCGCGACGGCCAGGCCGATGACGGCGCCGATGCTGATCACCTGATCACGCACATGATGATGATAGTGTCCACATGTCGGCGATGAAGGCTTTGGAAAGATTTCGGCATGCGCGCGCGGCCGACGGAGGCGAGTGGCCCGCATTGTGTTATTTGTCAGGGGTCGTGTCCCCCCAAAAAAAACATGCGCGCAAAGGGGTTCGAATGATTTCGATATGCGCGCGCGAGAGGCACGTTTTGGTCGCATGTTATGGAAATTTGAAGCGCCTATGGTTTTCTTAAGGGTTTGCAAGAGCGCGTATATTTTCTAAAACGACATGTTGCAACACCATGACTTTTGTACTTTTGGGACTCTCGACTTTGACATACACCTGCGGTTTTTGACGGATTTTGGCGTGTGCGCGCGCGTTTGTACTTCGCCCCATGTGTTGGGCATGGTTGTTGCAAATATATGGTTTTTGACAAACGAGTGCGCGCGCATACAATCATGTGGCATGGATGAAGTGGGGGTCGATGCCGGCCTGGCTGGGCTGGTCTGAAGTCTGTATTCAGAAGCAGCGGTGGGACACAGTAGTATGTAAACTGCACATGCGCAAGTGTATCGGCAATCCAACGGTGGGTGGGTTGTTGGTAGATCTTATTTCTAATTAATTTCTTGGACAAGGGGAATTTAACTGGTGCAATATATGCATTGCGATATGTATATATATATATATATATATATATATATAATATATATATGTGTCTATATATGTATACATATATATACACATATGTATATATGTATACGGTGCGACCTATGTGGTGTAAGCTATGCGGTGCAAGCTGAGTTGTGCACTCTATAGGGTGCAATATATGTGATGCAATCTATGTGGTACAGACAATGTGGTGCATTGTTTGTGGTGCAATCCATGCAGTTTAATCTATGTGGTGTTAGCTGTGTGGTGCAATTATGTAGTACAATCTTGAAGTGCAATCTATTCGGCCACGGCGGCGGATGGCGGCGACGGCGACAATAAGCGCGGCGAGCGCCAACCAGGCCCAAAAGCAATGGCGACGGACGGCGGCGACAGCGACAACAAGCGCGCTGGACCGCCAACCAGGCCCAGTTCCTCAGAGCAGAAGTAAAAACCCTCATGTGCATGCGCTGCTTGGGGAAATGTGCGTTTACAGAATTAATTGGCGCTTCGCGTCACGCACCTTGGTCTTTCGATTTCGGTTTGCGGGCGGGACGATAGAGGGGTAGATAAGCAAGATCAGCGATAACTCCTTGTTGTCATTTTCGTAGTCCGTTCTCCTTCCCTCATATTTCTTTTTCCCTTCCTCGTTCTCGCCTTACCCATGCGAGCCCTTCCCCGTCCTCCGCCTTGCGGAGGGTACTCCTTCGAGGGATCCTTGGGCTTCTGGAGGCCTCCTGGGCGCCTTTTGGGAGCGTCTGTCAGCTTACTTGGGCCACCTTGCTGCGAACCACAGTCTCCCTCAACGACCGGGTCACGACTTCGAGTGCTTTGGGGTGCGTCTTGGGGCCATCTCGGGCCGTCGTGGGGCTCTCTTCGGGCCCTGTTAGGCAGTCGTGGGGTTCTCTTGGATTGTCTGCAAGCCCTTTTGAATCGTTTTGGAACGAATTTCGGGGCCTCATGGACGGTCTCGCGAGCCTGGAAGATTGAAGAAGCGAGTATCAACGAGTCTTAAAGACACGATTAGGAAGTCAACGAACAATTGCGTTTGGAAGATCTTTTGGGGGTGTTCTTTGGTCCGTCTTCGGCCGTCTGGTGGGTGTCTGGGGCCGCTTGGGACTCTCGCGGGGCCGTTTGGCCACCCTCCCCGCCGCTTTGGGCCCGCTGACTAGGCCTAGCAGGACGTCCAGGAGGGCCGAGAAATCCCGGGGGATGCAAAAGCGTGCAAGGGTCCATGGAAACTGGGGATCTGGAGGGTCCAGCTTAGGGGGGAAGTCCCCCCCCCCCCGCATAGTAAAAAACATATGATAAAAAAGAAGATATCGACAATCCAAAATGGGTTTTTTTGGGCCTCGGGATGCTTCCTGGCTTGTCTCCTCGGTGCCCGTGAAGCCTGGCCCCTCGGCTCCTGGGCCCTGGGTTCTCGGTTCCTGGGCTTCTTGGCGCTCCCCACTGGCTACTGGGCCAGGGCGCCCCCGGTTCCTAGCCGCCAGGCGCAATGCTAGGCATTGTGCCATGCGAGGTATGCCATGCTAGATCATGCAGCGCTATGCAGTGCTATGCCATGCCGTACCATGCCATGCTGTGCGACACAATGCAGTCGCATGGTAAGCTACGCGCCAATATGTAGCGCCATGATACCCAATGCAATCATTTACCATGACATGCAGTGCTGTGATCGGCCATGCTATGCCATGATATAACATGCAATCGAAAACCATGCGACAATATGCGACACTGCGCGATATTGTGCAATGCCATGCTGTACTGCGCCAGGCTAGGATGTGCTTTGTAACACGATGCTATGCTATACAATGCTATCTTATGCGATGGTAACTTGTTACGGGATGACATACAATGTAATGCACAACCACGTCATGCCATGGTATTCTAGGCTATATTTTGATGTACTTTGCTATGCAAGGCGCTGCTATACCGCGCTACAGCATGCCATAGATGTACTGTAGGTGTTTCGCACCTTGTCACTGCACCTCACTGATTTGAACAAAACTTCAACCAATATAATGCACCTACGTGCGGTCGCGCCGGGTTCATTTACGGCGGGGGGTGGGGTCACGGGTCAGCCCCCTGCCCCTCTTCTCCCCCCATCCCCCAGTAGCGCCGGATATGCGCGGCAGCAATTGCCAAGGAGAGCGGAGGTGGTGGGACGCAGGCATGGGCGCGGGAGCCGTGCTCTTGTCCTCATTGGGAGGCCTGCTGAAAGAAAGAGGCGGGGCCAGAGCGGGCAACGAAGTGCGAGGCAAAGGAGAGGCAAGGAGAGCGGAGGGAGGAGGGGGAGGACGATGGGGATGGCGAAGAGAAAAATGAGGACGCCGAGGGGGGCCGGCCGCCGCACCTTGAAGCTCCCTGCCCTCCCACCGCGAGGAACACAGTTTAGAGTGGTGGCGGCGCGCCCCACAGCCCCCTCTCCCCCTTGGACCTGCCCTCGTCGTCATCGTCGCTGTCGTCGTCGTCGTCGTGGTCCCCCTCCTCCTCCTCCTCCTCCTTCTCTTCCTCCTCCTCCTTCTCCTCCCCATCCTCCTTCTTCTTCTTCTTCTTCCTCCTTCTCCTCCTCGCCCCAGTCCCTCGCTTTCTTGTCTTCGTGTCTTTTGTTTCAATGTCCTCCTTCTCCTTGCCATCCTCGTCTGACTTATTTCTCTCCTAATTTTTCCCTGCCCTCGTCGCCATCCCTCGTGCTCGTCCTTCTCCTCCTCCCTTCCCCCCTCCCCCCCCCCCCGTCTCAAGCTGCCGCTCCTGGCCCTCTTCCTTCTCGTACCCCCCCCCTCCCCCTCCTCCTCTCCGCTCCTCTCCGCCTCCTGTTCCTCCTCCTTCCCATTCCCTTACGTATGCTGCTGCCTCGCTCCCCGTCGTCATCACAATCCTCCCCCTCCTTCCCCTTCTCCCCATGTCCTCCCCCGCCCGTCCTTCCCCCGTCTCGGCTCCCTCCCCCTTCTCCCCCGCGCCACCCTCCCGCTCGCCCCTGGCGCCCCCAGAGACGCCCCCGCGGCGGAACAGAGGGCTGCCGCCCGCTTTGCCCCGGTCGAAGTCGGTCACGAAAGCCTCTATCGTCACAATGCCTGGGGGGATTAGCTGCCTCCTTCTTCCCTCCCTCCCTCCCCGCCCTTGCTCCCTTCACAGTTCGACAGCGTCCCGTTTCACTGCACACTGCAATGTGTATGTATTTTCCCGCGCGGGCTCACGGCTAGCAGCTTGCATCCAACATCCAGATTTTCCACGCAGAGTCGACACGGCAACTCTCGTTGTGATCAGACGACACATGAGATATCAACAGCGCACGGCCGCGAGAAGTCCTGGTTTTGGGAAACGAATTGCCTCGCCCTTGCTCCCTCACTCCCGCCTTCCTCGCCGCCTCTCTCGCTCCCCTTCCCTTCGCCTCGCCAACTCTTGCTATCCCTCCCACTCCTTCCCTTCCTCCGTGCATCCTCTTCGTACTTCTTCCCTCCATCTCCCTCCCTCCCTCCCTCCATATCCCTGCCTCTCTCTCTCTCTTCATATCCTTCCCCCTCCCCCTCCCCCTCGCTCTCCCCGCTGCCCCTCTGAGCCTCTCCCTTTGGGCCTCCTCGCCCTCCTTCTTCTTCCCCCCATACCCATCCTCCCTTCCTTTTCCTCCCTTCTTTCTCCTGGTGCTGCTACTGCTCCTCCTCTTCCTCCTCCTTTTTCCGCTCCTCTTCCTCATTCTCCTCAAGTTCCTCATCTTCCTCCTCCTCCTCCTGCTGCTCCTCCTCCTCCTGCTGCTCCTCCTCCTCCTCCTTCTCCTCCTCCCCTCCTCTTCCTCTTCCTCCTCCTCCTTCCCGCTCTGGTCCTCGTCGTCGTCGTCGTCCTCCTCCTCCTCATCACGCGATGCGCCGATCCGTGCCGCCCTCTGGCCTCTTCGGACGCTTCCTTGAGTGATTGGGGTCTTCCCTGGCTTGCTCTGTCTTCTTGTTCCTTGGCCGCTCTGTTGACATCGTTAATGGACCCTTATATGGTTGAACGGTCGAGTGGCCCTCCTTCTCCTCCTCCACCTCCCTCTCCTCGGACCAACAAGCGCACTCACACTTTAATATATATATATATACACATCTGAGAGAACGCGTTTCATGGGCGCTTGCTTTGGGAACATTCGGCGGCGCGTTTCGAACCGGGGGGTGGGCCCCCCTCCATCCCAAACCCTCCCCTCCCGACCCCCCCCCCCCTCCCAAAGGGTGGGGGGGGGTTTCACCCCCCCCCTCGGCGGCGGCGCCGGCGCCGGCGCTGGCGGCCGCCAGCAGCGCCCACGGCGGGGACGCACCACCACCACCACCACCACCACCACCACCACCACCACCACCACCACCAGCACCACACAACCACCACCACCACAGCCACCACCACTACAACAGCCACCACTACAACTCACCACCACCACCACTACAAAAACCCACCACCACTGCCACCACCACCACCACCACCACACCACCACCACCGCCACAACCACCACCACTACCAGCAGCACAACCCAACCCCACCACCATAAACCACCACACCACTACCACCGCCACCACCACCACCACCACCAGCACCACGTCCACAAACCACCGCCACCACCACAACCCACCACCACCACCACAAACCACCACCAACACCACCACCACACCACCACCAACCACCACCACCACCGTTCACCACACTCACCACACCACCACAAAAACCCACCACCACTACCACCACCACCTCTACCACACCACCACCACCACCGCCACAACCACCACCAGTACCAGCAGCACGAACCACCACCACCACCACAAACCACCACACCACCACCACCACCGCCACCACCACCACCAACACCACCAGCACCACGTCCAAAACCACCGCCACAACCACAACCCACCACCACCACCACCACAAACCACCACCACACTACCACCAAACCACCACCACAACCCACCACCACCACCACCACCACCAGCACCACGTCCACAAACCACCACCACAAACCACCACCACACCACCACCAAACCACCACCACCACCACCCACCGCCACAAACCACCACCACTACAACAAACCACCACACCACCACCACCACCACCACCACAACCACCGCCACCACCACTTCCACCACAACCCACCACCACCACCACCACCGTCCTCGTCGACGACGACGACGACGACGCAAGAGCGCGCGCGCACGTTTTTGTTGAACATCCGTGTTGCGAAACCTTGTGTTTCCCCACATCCAAAGTGGGGTTCTTGTTTTCTCTGGACACCCCGCGCAGGAACAGGAACACACACACACACCCACTCACACTCACTCACACTCTCTCATCATCAACCTCATCAGCATCATCGATGATGCTCTCTCACATGCTTAGTCACTCACATACTCATCATCATCATCACTCGCACTCTCTCACACGCTCACGAACATCATCATCATCATCATCATCATCATCATCATCATCATCGGCATCGGCATCATCCTCATTCAAACATCATCATAGCCACCACCACTCACAATCAATCATCATCCTCTTCACCACTCATCTTCACCACCACTCATCATCCTCATCCTCATCATCGTTGAGTAAATTGTGAGGAAGTCTCAGGCGGGAACCCCCTCCCTATGGGGCCCGCAGATCATGTTGGTAATCCGAGCGGGTCATCGGAACCCTGTAACTGTCGTCACTTTTGGGCTCCCCAGGCCTGAAGGGAGTCTCAGGCGGGAACCTCGTCTGTGAGTGAATTGGGAGGAAGTCTCAGGCGGGAGCTCCCTCCCTATGGGGCCCGCAGATCATGTTGGTAATCCGAGCGGGTCATCGGAACCCTGTAACCGTCGTCACTTTTGGGCTCCTCAAGCCTGAAAATGGAGGAAGTCTCAGGCGGGAGCCTCGTCTGTGAGTGAATTCTGAGGAAGTCTCAAGCGGGAGCCCCCTCCCTATGGGGCCCGCAGATCATGTTGGTAATCCGAGCGGGTCATCGGAACCTTGTAACTGTCGTCACTTTTGGGCTCGTCAAGCCTGAAAATGGAGGAAGTCTCAGGCGGGAGCCTCGTCTCTGAGTGAATTGTGAGGAAGTCTCAAGCGGGAGCCCCCTCCTTATGGGGCCCGCAGATCATGTTGGTAATCCGAGCGGGTCATCGGATACCTGTAACTGTCGTCACTTTTGGGCTCCTCGAGCCTGAATATGGAGGAAGTCTCAGGCGGGAGCCTCGTCTGTGAGTGAACTGCGAGGAAGTCTCAGGCGGGAGCCCCCTCCTTACGGGGCCCGCAGATCATGTTGGTAATCCGAGCGGGTCATCCAAAACCTGTAACTGTCGTCAATTTTGGGTTCTCGCGCTGCCAGAACGCAGTTCCCAGGCCACATTTTGGACGCAACGAGGAAGTTTTTGGGGTCCTCAGGTCGCCGAGGTGCTGCGACAGGGCGCCGAAGGCGCCGACGACGACGGCCAGGCCGAGGCGCGGGCGCGGAGCTTGCTGATGTTCAGGCCCAGCGAAAGGGAGTTCACATGGCAGAGCTCGGGGGCGCACAGCGTGCGCCGCTCGGGGTTCACCCTGACGCACGCGTCCTACCTGACCTCCACGCTGTCGCAGGGCCAGACGCTGCGCAAGGGCGTCACCATCGACTGCGCGAGAGACGAGGACGCTGGCCGCACGGGCATGTCGGACGAGCAGTGGTGGCTGCACCTCTACGTCATGTTCTCCCGCGCCACGTGCATGCGGAACATGCTGATCCTGCGGCCGCCGCCGCGAGAGTTCCTGGAGTGCGGGCCGCCGGCGTCCCTGCGGAAGGCGCTCCTGGAGTTCGACAAGAGAGCGGTTTTGTCCAGGGCGGAGGCGAAGCAGCTCGCGGCAGAGCTGGGCTTCGTGCTGCCTTCCGCCTGAGCGCGGCTGCGCCTCGCTCGAAGCCCGCGGGGTTGTCCCAACGGCTTGGTCTTGCGCGCCAACGGCTCGCGGGGTTGTCCCGACAGCCTGGCCCGCGGGGTTGTCCCAACGGCTGCGCGACGTGACCAGTAGAGAACGCGCCTGTGCTGGCCGTGGCGGCGACGGCGCCGAGGAACATCGACATGCGCGCTCATGCAACAGGAAGGGGAGGAGGTGGCGGGGCGCGGAACAAACAGGGGGGCGAGGATGGGGACAACGTAAGGAGTGGAAGGGGGGCCCGCGCCAAGGCGAGAGGAAATATACGCAGAAGAGACAGCCAGGACGCCTCACCAACCACGAGGACGACGGTGATGGCTTTTTCCAGATTCGCCCAGAGGATTCTTATGTGGGGTTCTTCCGTCGGAGTAATTGTATGTTTTTTGGACACACGATTTTGAAATTCTTCCGAAACGGATGGGTTTGAAAGATTTCGGCATACGCGCGCGACGACGCGCCCGTCTGCACTTCGTCCCGTTTTTTGCAGAGGATTCTCGCGACGGCACACGCGTAAGGGCGTTCGACAAATTTCGACATGCGCGCGCGAAGCCCGTTTGGTAGAATGTTGTGAAAATCTTGAAAAAACCCATGGTTTTCTTAAGATTTCGCAAGAGCTCGCGCGTAAGCTTCTTGAGCAAATCAGTGTTGCGAAACCCTGGGTTTGTGTATGTTTTTGGAAACTCGATTGCGAAATCCTTCCGGCACCGAAAGTTTTTGAAGGCTTTCGGCATGCGCGCGCGACGACGCGCGCGTGTGCACGTCGTCAACTTTTTGCAAGGGATTCGTGAACAAGTCTGATGTTAGAGCAACACCATTCCCCGCGTATTGTTTTTTACAAGGGGACCCCAGGGGGAGCCATACCGGCCCTCCCTGGGATAGTGTAAATTCATATTTAGGATGGACATGAGGGGGCGGATAACGCCGGGGGGAGGGAAAATCTGTGGTGCACTTAATTTCTGTTCGCAATGAATTAATTGTCCACTCCACTGCTCGCGCAAACATCCCACCCACCCACCCGCAACTTGGTTTGCAAAATCTCTTGAGACCGTGACGGTGGGTACCAAATGGCACTTGGCAACGACAGCGACGCCGACGACGACAGCGACAACGACGACGACGACGACGACGCCGCCGACAACGACTACGACGATACCGACGACGTCTCCTACGACTTCGACGATGCCGACAACGACGACGACAACGACACCGACGACGACGACGACGCCAACGCCGACGACGACGACGACGATGACAACGACGACGATGATGACGACGCCGACGACGACGACAACGACGACACCGACGACGACGACGACGTCAACGACGCCGACGACGACGATGACGACGACGACGGCGGCGACGACGACGACGACGCGACGACGACGACGACGACGACGACGACGACGACGAACGACGACGACGACGTCGCCAACGAAGACGACGACGAGGGAGGAGGGAGGACGACGACGGCGACAACGACGACAACGACGACAACGACGGAGGAGGGAGGACGGCGACGACGCGAACGACGAAGAAGGAGGAAGGACGGCGACGCCGACGACGACAACGACGAGGGAGGAGGGAAGACGACGATGACAACGACGACGACGACGACGACGGCGACGAAATAGGAGGGACGACGACGAGACGCCGACGACGGACGACGACGACGACGAGGGAGGAGGAGGAAGGACGACCACGGCGACAACGACGACGGAAACGACCACGACGCCAAAGAGGACGACGACGACGAACACGAGGAAAGACAGAGGACGACGTAGGCGACGACGACGACGACGCGGGAGGAGGAAGGACGGCGACGACGACGTTGACGACAACGCAAGAGCGCGCGCGCACGCTTTTGTTGAAAATCCGTGTTGCGAAACCTTGTGTTTTTGTAGGTTATGTGGACACACGATTTTGAAATCCTTCCGAAACCGATGGGTTTCGAAGGATGTCGGCATACGCGCGCGACGACGCGCGCGTCTGCACTTCGTCCCGTTTTTTGCAGAGGATTCTCGCGACGGCACACGCGTAAGGGCGTTCGACAAATTTCGACATGCGCGCGCGAAGCCCGTTTGGTAGAATGTTGTGAAAATCTTGAAAAACCTATGGTTTCCTTAAGATTTCGCAAGAGCTCGCGCGTAAGCTTTTTGAGCAAATCAGTGTTGCGAAACCTTGGGTTTTTGTATGTTTTTGGGAAACTCGATTGCGAAATCCTTCCGACGCCGAAGGTTTTTGAAGGATTTCGGCATGCGCGCGCGACGACGCGCGCGTGTGCACTTCGTTCAATTTTTTGCAAGGGATTCGTGAAAAAGTCTGATGTTAGAACAAAAAATGGCCCCGCGTATTGTTTTTTTACAAGGGAACCTCAGCGGGAGCGATACCGGCCCCCCTGTGTTAGTGTAAACTCGTATTTAGGGTGGACATGTGGTCAGAATCATATCTGATTCATATACCCGAAAATGGGTGGGGATAACGCCGGGGGCGTGCAATTTGTGCTGCAATATATGTTGTGCAATCTAGGCGGCGACGGGGCGGCGACGAAATGGAGACAACATTGCCGCCAGACCCGCAGACAGGCCCAAACGACGGGCGGTGACGAGGCGGCGACTGTGGCAACGTGGCCGTCAGACCGGCAGACAGGCCCAGACGACGGGCGGCGACAGGGCGGCGACGGCGGCAACATCGCCGCCAGAGCTGAAGACAGGCCCAGCACTTTACAGGAGAAATAAGAACCCCTAAGTGTAAGCACTGTGATTGCCACGAGGAAGATAAGAGACACACGTGAATTTTCCTGCCACGCCCCAGGGCAACTCGGGAGGGAAAAGGGGCGCTCACAATCACACGCTCGCGTGATTTTGGCGTTTCCTTTAATCACCTCGTCCAACATCTCCGACAAACATGCGGGAACTATGGCCCTGCTCGAATAATTCTCTCTTTCCTCCTGGCCCGAGAGGCGCCCTTGCCCTCCCTTCTCCTTTGCCTTCTCCTCCTCCTCCTAAACAAACTTCGTGAAGCCTTTGAACTGATCAGCCACGTTTGTTTCAAAAGCAGCCGAGTACACGCTGCGAAGCGCATACTACAATCTTCTTCCCAATCGCGCCCCGTCCTTCTCCTCCGTCTCCTCCTCCTCCTCCTCCTACTTCCTCACCTTTCCTCCCCCTCTTCTTCCTCCTCCCCCAACCCTGATTTCCTCATGCGTTTTCCCCCATGGGCTCCAACCTGTCAGAACGTCAGAAATGGAGGGGTATAAACCTGCCGAACGGAATGACCAATCATCAACATTGGAAGTCAGACCGTCGCTTTGGACACTTTTGAACGTTCAGCTTCTCCACCTCCCATTGCTCGATGCCGCAGGGTGGCCTCCTTTGTGCACGATCTCCGTGCAGCGTGCAGTGATTCCTGCGGCCGCAGTCTGGGCAGAAGGGTGGGAAGGACGACAAGGACGATGGGGATGGGGAGGGCCTTCAGGGCTTCGAGGGATTCTGCGAATCTGACAGTCGGCTCTGGCTTTTGGAGCCTCTTAAGTGTTCTGATAGGGGGGTGTCAGGAGGAGGAGTAGGAGGAGGAGGAGGAGGAGGGAAAGGAGGAGGAGGAGGAGGAGGAGGAGGAGGAGGGAAAGGAGGAGGAGGAAGAAAAGGAAAAGGAGGAGGAGGAGGAGGAAGAGGAGAAACAAGAGGAGGATGACGCGGATCCCGGAAGGGCTAGCTGCGCTTCCAGACAGCCCTCGAAGCGCTGGCATGCGGAGTGCCGTCGTTGTCGTGGGTGTTCCCCGTGCCGGAGAGTGGTGCACGAGCGGCACAGCAATGCGAATCGTCGCGCGGCACGCCGTGGCTCGGCGTCATCGACGCTCTGACGCGATCGCGGGAAGGAGGTGCCAAGCGCACGGACGCCAAGGGCAATGGCCGATGGCGCCGTCTTTCTTGGCAGCCGAACTTGCGCGTGATGCGCTCGCCCATGACGTGCATTCGGTGGTTCGCCGGCCAGGCCCTTGCCGGCGTTTTTTTACCCTGCCCAGCATACTCTCAGGCTTCACTGTAGCGAAGTTGGCACGGAGTCGATGCCAACGGCCCGGTGGAGGAGGAGGACAAGGTGGAGGAGGAGAAGGAGGAGGAGGAGAAGGAGGACGAGGAGGAGGAGGAGGAGCAGGAGCAGGAGGAGGAGGAGGAGGAGGAGAAGGAGGAGAAAGAGAGAGGAGCAGTAGGACAAGGACGATGGTGATGACAAGGGGGGAGGAGGAGGAGGAAGAGCAGAAGGAAGAAGAGGAGGACGAAGAGGGAGGGATGGTAATGATGAGGAGGCGGTGGAAGAGGAGGAGGGGGAGGGAGGGGGGACGGAGGAAGATAATGGTAAGGGAAATGGAAGCATGAGGAGGAGGAGGGTGAGGAGGATGAGGAGGATGAAGAGGAGGAGTGCACGGGCCCCAAGAGGCGAGAGGGCGGTCAAGAACAAAAGAGGAGCCAGACGCCCATCCAGGGGCAAGAGTGTCCAGGACAATCCACCGCCTCTCACAAAGGCTTTCCTGAAAAGGCCATAGCGAGCATACCAGGCTTGAGCCGGCTCTTAGCCGTGCTCTCGAGGCGATCCCCTACCCCGCCTCAGCTCCTGAATGTGTGATATACCGACGACGATACATCGAACAAAGCAGCGATACCTGCTAGAGCAGAGTCAGATACAGGAAGACAGGGGAAGAGAGCAGCACGGGAGAGGCCGGGGGCGGACAGGAATGACGGATGAAGGAGGGAAGAAGGTGTAGCAACCTCTCGGTGGCTGGACAAGCTACGTGATGTTCCATATGATCGCCACCCAGCGCCCACCTGCAGAACTGGCAAGACTGCGGTGCGCCCCCGAAGCGCCTAGACGTGCACCAAGCGTCGCGCACCGTACGGACCAAGGACGCGAGCACACACTGGTGAGCGACTTTGACCGTCCCGGAGAAAGCTTGACACAACAAGTCACCCTGGGTAACATTGGGCACAGCATGCTTGGCACGCCTTCGGAGGACGTTCCCGCTAAACAGATGAAGCTGTTCTCGCAAACTCTTTCCATGGCCCGCTGGAGCCCAGGGATCCCGAAGGGGGGAAGAGGAGGGGACACTACTCAGAAGCCTGAAAATCGAGCCAATGTGGTAAAAGGACGTCCCCTCGAAAACCCAGAACCCGCTGTACTGCCACGCTGCAACCATATCATTCTCCTCACTCACCTCTCGAATCTATCGGGCCATACGGTCGTACGCCACAGAGTACATGGCAGCACGCTAGAGCGTGGCACGCGACACTCAATCGAGATGCCTAGCCTGCACTTGGATAGCCACAGCCTTGAGATCGTACAACAACCTTGAAACGATGCCAGCCGTACTTTCGGGTGGCCTCTGCGGCTGCGGGTGTCGACCTCAACATTCAGAAGTCGGTCATCGTTCTCCCCATGGGGCCGCCCTCCTGAACATGCAGCGAATAGGCTACGAGCTAGTGGAGGGAGGAGGGGGAGGAGGAGGAGGAGGAGGAGGAGGAGGAGGAGGAGGAGGGAAAGCAGGAGGGAAAGGAGAGGGAGGAGGAGAGGAGGAGGAGGAGGTGAGAGGAGGAAGGAGGAGGGAGTAGGAGGAGGAGGGGAGGAGGAGGCGGGGGAGGATTGAGGAAAAAAAAAGGGAAATGGGGGGCGAGGAGGAGGATGAAGAGGAAGAAAAAAGAGGATGATGACGAGGAGGAGGGAGGAAGGAGGAGGAGGGAGGATGGAGGGAGGGTAGAGAGCATGAGGAGGGAGGAGGAGGAGAGATGAGGAGGAGGAGAGGAGGAGGAGGGGGGCAGAGTGGGGATGAGGAAGCGGAGGAGGGAGGGGGGAGGAGGATGAGGATGACCGGAGGAGGAGGACGGGGGAGGGAGAGGAGGGGGGGGAGGGAAGGAGGAGGAGGGAGAGGAGCGGGCAGAAAGGAGGTAGACAAAAGCAAGCAATCTACACTGAGGGGGAAAAAGTGAGGGAGGAGGAGGACGACGACGAGGACGCGGACGACGAGCGGCGCCAGAGGGCGCTGGGGGCTCCCAGCTGCCGCAGCTGCTCGGCCACCGCGCCCTGGGCTGGCGGGCGCTCGGCGGCGGCGGCTGCCGCCGCCGCTCCCCGTCCTCGTCCGCGGCTTTTTGCGCAGCCCTCCGGCGCTTTGGAGTCCTCGCCCTGGGAGCGGCTGGGCCGCCCCCTCATCCTCCTCCTCCGCCCTCCTTCTCTCCTCCTCCTCCTCCTCTCTCTCCTCCTCCTCCTCCCTCCCTCCTCCTCCGCCTCGTCCTCCCCCTCCTCCTCCTCCTCCTCCTCCTCCTCCTCCTCCTCCTGTCTCTTCCTTCATCTCTTGTCCTGTATCAGGAGCTCCTCCCGTTGGCGCCCCCGCGCGGGCCGGGCGTTCGGCCCGGGACTTCCGCACCGTTGACGATCCTGAAGCTCGAAGTTCTCAACAGATTCGCAGATGGAGAGTGGGTGGTCTTCAAATTGTGGCTCTCGCCTTAGCGCCGTGCGCATTCGTCTTCACACTTTGCAGCAATTTCAAGGATGGAGGGCGGTTCCTTTTCAACATGTGGATCTCGCCTTAGCGCCGTGCGCATTCGTCTTAAAAGTTCGTAGGAGTTTGAAGGAAGGAGGGCGGGTGGCTTTTGAAACGTGGCTCTCGCCCTAGCGCCGCGCACATTCGTCTTCAACTTTGAAGCAGTTTCACGGATGGAGGGTAGCTTCTTTTCAACATGTGGCTCTTGCCTCAGCGCCGCGCGCATTTGTCTTGAACGTTTACGACAATTCAAAATATTTGCATGGCTGCAGTCCCAGGGGTGGTGTTCTGGCACGGTTTAGGATTGTCAAGACGCAACAATCACCTTGATTCGCGGTGTTGAAATCCCAGGGGTGGTGTTCTGGCACGGTTTCGGATTGTTAGGACGCGCTAGTCACGTTGATCCACGTCGTTGAGGTCCCAAGGACGGTGTCGGCACGATTGAAGATTCTCAGACGTTTGTCTTCTGATTGGCCACTTTCTGCAATGAAATTGCATTCTTGTGTGGACCTATGAACAGGGAAGTTGGAGAGAGAGAGAGAGTTGATTGGAACATCGTTGACGCGTCTTGGGCGTACACTGGTCCTCCTCTCCCTCCTCCTCCTCTTCCTTACTTCTTTCCTTCCTTCCTTCCGTTCTTCTTTCCTTCCTTCCTTTCTCCTCTCGTCCCCCTCCTCCCGTCCCCCTCCCCCCCGCCAACCACTTCCTCCTTGCCTCCGACATGCTGGCGTGAGCGGTGCGAGGGGCGCCATGATTTGTCCGCCCCATCGTGTCCTCTTGGGTTGCAACTGTGTAGTCCGCTCGGGGCGGAAATGCGGGCAGTTACACACAGAGCCAGCAAACAAATGTGCCTGTGCTGTCTAGAGTGCACAACGGCGTAGCTGTGAAAGTTGTGTGACGGCATCCGGCTTGTGCACACTTGCGGTGGGAGTCGGTTGGGCAGGTTAGCTTGCACCACGGATGAAGGGAACTCGGTGAAGGGAATGACCACGCCCCCAACCCACTGGAGAGTTCCGACGATGGAAATCAGCCGCAGACGCGGCAGACAAGCTACGGGGAATCTCCTCAGTCTTCCCCATGGTCTGGCCTAAGCCTGAAGGTGCATTCGTATTTCGTCCTCCAGGCTGCAATGCTCACTCGGGCAATCTGGCCAAGCTGAACCGTCGCACTCGAGGCAGGACATGGTCCTTTGACGGGCGCGTGACATGGTGCCAGTGGGGTTTCTGTTGCAAGGTTCCCAGCAATCCCACATTTTGCTCCGTAGTTGCCCTGTCCTCGAGTGGCACACCGTGGTAATATGTTGAACGTCCTGGTGCTTTCGGATCCTGAGTAGGCCTGTTAGAGAGGCTGTACACGAACATGTCCCCAGAAGTAGTGAGCAAGTCGTGTCTCGTTGCGCCGATACGCAAGCGAGAGAGCGGCAAGAAAGCCGAAGGGAATTTCATCAGCACTTTCTTCGGTACGGCTTGAGCCTAAAGCAGTCTTCGAATGCGATCGCCCTGGCGGCGCTGCCCCGGGGCAGGACATGTTCAGTCCTCGGGTGGCACAGCAAGGTGGTACACCAGGCCTCTCGTCCCACCAACTGGGTTGAGGCGCCCCTAAGAAATACCGCTTCACGCATCCTAATTCCTACCTGCCATCACCCCCCCGTCCCATGGTGGTGCCAACTGCGCAACTGTCGCCACTTTCGTGAGCTCCTCGCGCTGCGCAATTTCAAACGCGGCCTCGCCCTCGCTGGCCTCTGCACAACTGCGCAACTGTCGCAACTTTCGTGGGATCATGGGAGGGCTAACGAAAAGACGTCCCACTTGCACCCGGACTAAAACACGTCTCCCTGTGTGGGGGGGAAGGCCAAGTGCGCATCTTCCGCCATTTTCGTGAGGCAGTGGGGCCTTACACATTCATATCCTTCGGTGCTGTCTCGAAGCAGGCCTGTGAGGGCATGCAACGCGTATGCCCTCCTATACGGCTTCCACAAAGAATCTCGCTCGTTGTCAGACCGTCTCCTGTTAGGGATGAGCCCACTGATCTTGGCAATTGATTTGGGCGGGCTCGGTACGTCACCAGTTAATGTTATTTCCCCATCGTCCTCGTCCTCGGCGCCGTCATCCTCGTCGTCCTCGCCCTTTGGCCCCTCCGTTTCCATCTCCTCCTGCTGCTGCTCTTTAACCTCGTCGTCGTCGTCGTCGTCGTCCTTGTCCTCGTCCTCGTTCTCGTCCTCGTCGTCGCTTTCCTGCTCCTCCGTTTCCATCTCCTCCTGCTGCTCTTGCTCCTCCTGATCACCATTCTCGACGCCCTCTTGGATCACTGGGTCTGCTGAGAAGGCTAGCGATGCTGGCCAACGGTGGACAAACACCCCGGCGAAGAAAAACTACTCCAGGCTCGACTTTTCGTCTTTCCTCCTCCTCCTCCTCCTTCTCCTCCTCTTCCTCCTCCTCCTCCTCTTCCTCCTGCCCCTTCCCCTGCGGGGATGGGGGCACGAGGGGGCGGATAGGGGCGATGGGGGAGTCGCAGATGTGGGAAGGGGGGGACGGCCGCGCGCGGGAGGAAGAGGAGGAGGAGGAGGAGGAGGAGGAGGAGGAGGAGGAGG